GGGGGAGGGGGCAGGGAAGGGGAAAGAGGCAGGGAAGGGGGAGGAGTAGACCAGCTAGAGAAGGGAGCGGGCCGGCATGGGAAGGGGCGTGTCCGCGAGGGAAGGGGCGGGGCCAGCGAGGGGTGTGGACTGAAGGGCATGTGCTGGCGGACAGGGAACGGGAAGGGACCCCTGGTCTGAGGATGGTCCCCGTCGGTCCCGAGCCCACCCCCGCTGACCTCGTCGTTGCCGCAGACGCAGCCCGAGGGGTCGGCACAGGCCTCGGGGGCCACATGCAGGGCGCCCGCCCCGTGGAAGCGCAGACGGCCGGCGCGGGAGGCCAGGAAGGCGGCCAGGTCATCGTCCCTGGTGAACGTCTGCGGGCCGGGATGGCCGAGAAGGGACGCGCTAGTGTCGGCGTCCACGTGCGCGGGCCGTGGGACCAGGGACCCCACCTCACCTGGCCCAGGGCCGACACACTGCGCACAGTCAGGTCACCGGGGCCCAGGCCCACACGGAAGGAGGTGGTGGAGGGAAAGACGACGTCGTCATGACGACAGGGCACTCGCTCAGCGTCCACAGAGAAGAGGCCGTGGGTCATGTCCTCAGAACGCCACAGGTTCGGGTCGAACCATGAGAAGCGGTCAGGGTCACGAAACAGTACAGGTACACCTGGTCAGACACGTGTCTGAGCTGCTCAGGGGACAGGGTCCCACGGAGAGCCCCGCCCTCGATACACCTCCTGGAAGCCCCTTCCAGGTAAGCTTTCCAGGAAGCCCCTTGCCAGGTGTGCTGTCCTAGAAGCCCCGCCCCGGACACGCCCCCTAAAGGCCCCGCCCCAGGCACTCCCTGACACTCCTAGACACGCCTCCTGGGAGCCACGCCCCCGGACGAGCCCCTGGAAGCCACGCCCCAGGCACGCCTCCTGGAAGCCACGCCCCTTACAAAGTCCTCTTGAAACACCACCCTGGACACGCCTCCTGAAAACCCAGACCACTCACGCATCCTGAAGACCACATCCTCCTATCAAGCCTCTGAGGACACTCCCCCTCTACCCCTCGGGGACACTCCTTCTCCTGAAGCCCCGCCCAAGGCTTTACCCTCCCATAGAGCCTCCCCTCCGCGACCCTGGACCGCAGAAAAACTGCTACTCCAAGTCTATTCTGCCACTATTTAAAGATCATCTCAGGAACAGGTTTGAGGCATTGAATACTAATGAGCAAAGACCAGATGAGTTGTAGGAGAATATCAAGAATATCATCCATGAAGAATGCAAAAGGTCATTACAAAGACGAAGACCAAGAAGGATGTCCGAAGAGACTCTGAATATTGCACTAGAGCGCTGAGAAGACAAAACAAAGGGGGGAAACAAGAAGTTAAGGAGCTGAACAGAAGATTTCAAAGGGCAGCTTGGGAAGACAAAGTGTTATAATGAAATGTACAAAGAGCTGGAGTCGGGAAATCAAAAGGGATGAATTCACTAGGCATTTTTTAAACTGAAGGACAAGTTTAAGCCTCGAGTTGCAATACTTAAGGATGCTTGCTGAGGGCAGACTGTTGAATGACACAGGAAGCATCAAAAGAAGATGGAAGGAGTACAAAGAGTCACTGTACCAAAAAGAATTGCCAACAGAAGAATTTCATGAAACAATGTATGACCAAGAGGCAGTGGTGATGAAGGAGGAAATTCAAGCTGCTCTGAAGGAATTGGCAAAAAACAAGACCCCAGGAATTGATGGAATACCAATTGACATTTTTCAGCAAACAGAAGCTGCCTTGGACACACTCACCCGGACATACCAAGAAACCTGAAGGACAATTACCTAGCCCACTGGTTGGAAGAGATCTATATTTATTCCCATTCCATAAAAAGGTCACCCAACAGTCTGGTAATTATTGAATAATATCACGCGCAAGCAAGATCCTGCTGAATATTATCCTGAAACAGTACATCAGCAGAAAACTGCCAGATGTGCATGCTGGGTTTAGAAGAGGCTGTGGCACTAGGGACATCATAGCCAATGTTAGATGAATCTTAGCTAAAAGCAGAGAGTACCAAAGGGGTGTCTATCTGTGTTTCATTGATTATACAAAGGCATTTGACTGTGTAGATCACAACAAATTGTGGTTAACCTTGAGAAGAAGGGCGATCCCAGAACACTTGATTTTGCTCATGTGAAACTTATACTTGGACCAGGAAGCAGTCATCAGAACAGAGCAGGAAAACCACTGCCTGGTTCAAAATCAGGAAAGGAGTGTGTCAGGAATGCATCCTATCTCCATTATTATTCAATCTACATGCAAAACAGATCATTCAGGAAACTAGACTTTATGGGGAGGAATATGGCATCAAGATTGGCGGAAGACTCCTCAGTAACCTGTGTTATGCAGAGGACACAATCCCGCTTGCTGAAACTGAGGACCTGAAGTGCTTGCTGCAGAAGGTCAAGGACTGAAGCTCAACATGAAGAAAACATAGATTTTTCACCACTGGGCCAATTGGCAGCTTCATGATAACAGAAAAGAGATTGAGATTGTTAACAACTTCAGCTTGCTTGGTTCCACAATCAACACTCCTGACACCAGCAGTCAGGAAATCAAGACTAATTGCACTGGGAAAATCTGCTGTCAGGGACCTCTCTACAGTACTGAAGAGCAATGATATCAGTGTGGAGACTAAGGTGCACCTGATACAGGCCATGGTCTTAACAATTACTTGCTATGCATCAGAGAGCTGGACAATAAGGCTGACAGAAGAAGGATTAATGCCTTTGAGTTGTGGTGCTTGACAAGAGTGCTGAACATTCTGTGGTCTGCCAAGAGAACAAAAAGGTCTGTCCTGGAGAGGGTAAAACAAGCTGCTCTCTGGAGGCAAGGATTCTGAAGCTCCTCACATACTTTGGGCATGTGACCAGGAGAGACCAGTCTTTGGAGAGGGATATCATGCTCAGAAGGGTGGAGGGGCAGCAAGGCAGAGGAAGACCCAGAATGAGATGGATTGACTCAGTGATTGGAGAAATGGGATTAGGTCTGTCCAAGACGATGAGATTGACTCAGGATAGGGCAGGTTTCAGAGCTAATGTACATAGTATTACTATGAGTCACAGGGGACTCAGCAGCACAGAAAAACAAGAGGACACATCACCACACCCATCTTTATTGCTGTGTTGTTCACAATAGCAAAGAAATGGAAGCAACCCAAGTGCCCATGAACAAAAGAATGGACAAAGAGCTGTGATATAGTCACACAATAGGATACTATGCAGCATTGAAAAACAAGGAACTCATAAAATATTATACCGAAGACGACATTCAGATGGCTAACAAGCACATGAAGAAATGCTCAAAATCCCTAGCCCTAAGAGAGATGCAAATTAAAACAACTATGAGATATCATTTCACCCCAGTCAAAATAGCAAAATTTCACAGAACAGCAAGCAACAAATGCTGGCGAGGTTGTGGAGAAACTGGAACACTGATTCACTGTTGGTGGGAGTGTAAAATGGTGCAGCCCCTGTGGAAAGCAGTATGGCGCTTTCTCAAATAGTTGCAAATAGAGATACCATTTGACCCAGCAATTCCACTACTGGGAATATACCCTGAAGAGACCATAGCTGACATCCAAGCAGATATATGCACACCCATGTTTATTGCAGCTTTGTTCACAATAGCAAGGAGTTGGAAACAACCTAAGTGCCCATCAACAAACGAATGGCTAGAGAAGCTGTGGTATATTCGCACAATGGAATACTATGCTGCATTGAAAAACAAGGAACTCATGCAATATTATTCAAAATGGTTGACTCTGGAGAACATTATGCTGAGTGAAATATCCCAGTCACAAAAGGACAAATATTACATGATGCCACTGTTGTAGAATGGGACTGTCCTTGGGGTTGGGGAGAGACTGAGTAAGATTGGGTTCAATAATGTATACTGCACTGAAACAGAGGAGGGAGAAAACTGTTTAAAAGAGATATATAACTAGGTATTTCTGTCATCACAGGAGTCTAGAGTGAGGGCTACATGGTGGAGGGGACCTGGGGGAGGGTTTGTAAAACAATGAAAGAATCTTTTCTTTTACTTTTCCATAATTTTTGACTCATGTACTTATAACTTGTTAGTCAAATTTGTGTCTTCTGGGTTGCAACACCCCCCATGATACATCTTCAAGGATATGAACATGTACAGCCAAGCACAATCAATAAGAGTGCATCTAAATTCCAAAATCAGTCTCCATAATAGTCTATGTGTTTCCTACTGCCAAAGGGGCCCTTTAGAGTAGTGAGAGAAGATCTTCACCCTGAAACCCACAGCGTCCCTTTTCAGCAGGAAGTAGCTAAGAGAATACGCCATCCCCTTTTCCTTATGAATCAGGGTGAAGTCTCTCTCAGGGAGGAGTGATAGGGAATGGCAAAGGACACACTGACAAAGAAGATTAATCAGAACTGGCTTTGACAAGCACTGTGGCATTTGGACAAGAACAAACTGGGAGGAGGGTAGAGAGAATAGTGCAACAATGAATGAATGGAAACCCAAAATCTCTGTAAATGTTTATGAAAATTAATAAAATATAATTATAGAAAATATTATATAAAATGGGTGACTCTTGAAGATATTATGTTGAGTGAAATATCTCAACATAAAAGGACAAATACTGCATACTTCCACTGTTATGAAACAGGACTGACGTTGGGGGTTGGAGGACACTAATAAAAGAGGGAGTAAATAATGAACTCTACATTGGAACAGATGAGGGAAAGAATTGTTTAAAAGGAATATATGATTAGACATAATTTGCATGACAATAGTCCAGAATAAGAGGTGCACAGTAAAGTGGACTAGGGTGGGGGGTAGGGAGGAAAATGTGCAACAATGAATGAATGGGGGAGGGGAAGAGGACACATCACTCAGAAATCTGCCTCCCTGACCCTCCCTGCTGGCAAGCCCCGCCTATTGTCTTGCCTTGCACCTGACCACACTCTTCCTCCTCACAGGGTGCTTGACCATTCCCCCACTTACCCCATCTGTGATGGTCACCCGTGTCCTGCCCAGCCACCAGTCCCCACCCACAACCACACTACTCTCCTTGCTGGCCTCTAGGAAGCTGGTCCACTACTGCCTGGCCTGACCTGCACTGCAGACTGGATCCCGAGTGGTGCCTGAAGTGCTGAATGCAGCTCCAGAGTCCAAGATAAGTTCTCCATCCAGTGGCAAGAGCTGTGGAGACACAGGTTGAGATGGTGGCACATGGTGGCCTGGGAGCCCAAGGAGTCCCATCCTTTTTCACCCCTGGGGTCTCCCAAGAACTGAATCCAGATGACCATGGAGAGGGCCAGGGGGAAGCAGGGCCAGGAAAATGGGATTAAGCCAGGGAGAGAATGGGCATGGGTGCACTAGGGAGGGACGGGTTTGAAGGGAGACCCCAGGGATCCTGAGGGAACGGGGTGATGTAAAGGTCGTGGACTCCAGGAACTGGAGCAGCCTCTGGGGAGGCTGCTGAACCATGTTAGGGGAGGAGCAGGCTGACAGAATCAGAGCCTTGAAGTCAAAACTCTCCTGCTCCCAGACCTGAACCCAACATGGAACCCCTTCCTCCCAGAACAGGCCACAGCCCAGGCCTAGGGTACAAGAGAAGACATGAAGCAAAAAGACCGAACTTAGGACGTTGACTCCCTCACCCAGCCCCTTACCCCAGGACCACTGCCCCCCTCTCATGGTTCTTCCTGAGGAGTCAGAGATGACCCCTGAGTGGCAGGTGCCAGTGTTGTCAAGGCTATCTACCCAACAAGATTCTACAGTCCTTCTCCTGGCACCAGAACTGACCCAAGTGGGACCTCACCACTAACACTATGACTTGTTGGCCTCTCTGTCCTCGCGACTGGACCAATAGGCAACATCATGACAGAAGGAGAAAAGATTGACATTGTCAGCAATTCCATCTTACTTGAATCCACAATCAACACCCTTGGTACCAGCAGTCAAGAAATCAAGAAACATGTTACGATGGAAACACCTGCTGTCAAACACCTCTCCAAGGTGTTAAGGAGTAATGAAGTCAGTTTAAAGACTAAGAGGCACCTGTTTCAAGCCATGGTCTTTTCAATAATTTGCTATGCATCTGAAAGTTAGATAATGACTCAAGATGACAGAAGAACCAATGCTTTTGAATTGTGATGTTGGAGAAGAGTAATGATATCCCACAGACTGTCAAAATGTATCCTGGAGAAGGTGCAGCAAGGGGGCTCCTTGGACGCAAGCATAGCAAAACTTTGTCTCACATATTTGGTGCATGTTGTCAAGAGGGACTAGTCCTTAGAAAAGGACATCATGTTTGGAAAGGGGAGGAAGGCTTTCAGTGAGATGAATTGACAAAATGGAATAATGGGCTCAAATCTATCTTGGACGAAGTGCAGCCAGCATGCTCCTTGGATACAAGGATGGTAAGATATCGTCTCCTATTCTTCAGACAAAGCCCTATGAACAGTACTGAGGAATGGTGGTTCTTATTAGTACAGCACATCTCTGTTAATTTGTTGTAGTAATTTCTTGGATCACCTTTCTTGGAAATAAGAACAAATATGGATCTCTTCAAGTCATTCAGCCAGATAGCTGTTTTCTAAATTTCCTGGCATGGACTGATGAGCACATAGAGGGCTGCATCTGTCATTTGAAACATATCGATTGGAATGTCACTTTGCTGTATTGGGGGAATTCACAGTTCTCATTAGTACAGCTCTTGTCTGTCAGTTTGCTGTACTTATGTAACTTGTGAGTTTCTGTAATGCTGAACACTGTGCCACCAGTGTGTCAGATGCCACAAGGATCAGAGCTGGTGGACCAGGTTTCAGCAGAGCTCCCAGGTTAAGGCAGACTAGGAAGCAGGGTTGACCATCCATTTCTGAAATAACAGGCCTCTGAAGTAAGGTCTGTTGTTCAAAGGGATGATATGAGTTGTACTCAACTCAGTGGCACCTAACAACAACAATAACAACATACTTTGGACATGTTATCAAGAGACCAGTCCCAGGAAAAGGACATCATGCTTGGAAATGCAGACGATCAGAAGAGGAGACCCTCTGAGGTATGACCCAGGACAGCGTCGGCTGTGAAGATGGTCTTGTGCACAGTTCTGAGTCAGCGCAAACGCCGGGGCCCCTGACAACAAAACTCGCCTCACTGCCCCCAAGAGCCAGCCCTCTCTCCATGGCGGTAACTCTCTGCTAGAGGAAACCGCCCCCTCCTGCTTCCCCGAAGCAATGGTGTGTTCAAACCTGACCTTCCAGGTAGTGTAGCGTCCCTGGGCATCTGGCAGGCCACTTGTTGCTGTTTGGTGCCATTCAAGTGAGATCCTTGGAACCTGAATCAGATCCCATCCAATCCTGCACCAGTTTTACCACCTCTGCCACGTCATCGTTGTCATGATGTCAGTCCATCTTGTTGACGGTCTCCTTCTCTTTTCATGTCCCTCTACTTTTCCTGTCAAACTCAACTCACTGCCACCAACTCAGAACTGACTCATAGCTGACCCTCGATTGGGTGTCTAAGCCTGTAAATCACACGGAGGAAATGGCCCATCTTTCTCCTGCTGATCTGTTGCTGTTAGGTGCCGTCGAGTGGAACAACAGACCTGACCTCTGTCCTATCCTGTGTCATCTTCATTATCTCTGACACACTTGAGCCAATGCTGTAGTCACTGTGTCAACCCATCTTGTGGAAGAGCTTCCTTTCTTTCACTCACTTTCTATCTTTCCAATCATGATGTCCCTTTCCAAGGAGTAGACTGTCTAAGCACCATGTCCCACGTATGAGACAAAGTGTCGTCGTCTCTGCCTCCATGGAGCACTCCAGCAGAGCTAAAGGCGCCTGCAAACCCCCAGAAACACACAGCCTTTGAGTTAACTGTCTACCAGAGGTTACCAGAGGCTGCAAGTATCACACTTCCCAGCAGGTGGTAGTAGAGAGTTTTGTGCCAGTAACATAGGTATCAGGCAGTGAAGCTCCTGAAGTGTCAGATTTTATAACCCAGGGAAGGTGTCAGGAGAACATGAGCCTCGCAAAGACAGTCCAGTCTCAGACAACCTCACCAACAGGCTAATGACGCAAAACTGCACCTCAATCAACATAGAAAACTATGTTGATAAAGTGCAACCACATTTGTGATTGTTTAAGAGATGCTAGCCAGAAACTAGAATTTCCCAGTGGGATAAAATGAATATGCCAAAAACCTACAGCAATGAGATACACTCAATAAAGAAACGTCAAATGCTCTCTTTTTAACATCAGAAGAAAAATAAAAGGATGCCTGCTTTCATCACTTCTGTTTTACATAGGAGTCCTAGTTAGTAATACCGGGAAAGAACAGAAATCAAGGGAAAAGGAAGAGAAGGCACCAAGCCATATTATTTGAAACAATAACCAAGTGGAGGAGACAGTATTTGTAATCAGGGTGCCATTCACAAGAGCAGCCCAGCCTGTATTTACAAAGTAACTGACAATATACAAGAGGCAAGGGTGAAATGAAACAAGAGGCAAGGATGGTGAAACTTTGTCTCCCATGTCTGGAGGAGCCAGACCTTGAAAAAAAGACATCAAGCTGGCAAAGGTGGAGAGGTCACAGGAAGACTTTCGACAAGATTAACTGACTCAGTGACTGCAACGATGTTGTTTTTAGACGTCATCGAGTTGAGTACAACCCACGGTGACCCTATGAACAACAGATCTGGACCCTGGTCTATTCTGTGTCAGCCTCACACCTTCTGACACACTACAGTCCATTGCAGCAGTCACCATGTCAATCCACCTGGTCAAGGATCTTCCTCTCCTTCACTGACCCTTCACCTTTCCAAGCATCCTGTCCCTCTCCAAGGTATAGCCCCTCCTAGCAACATGCCTAAAGTATATGAGGCAAAGCCTCATCATCTTCACCTCTGAGGAGCACTCTGGCTGCACCCTCTCCAAGATGTACCTGTTTGTTCTCTTGGCCGTCCATGAGATGTGCAGCGCCCTTCTCCAACACCACAGCTCAGAGGCATCAATTCTTCTTCTGTCCTCCTTGTTAATTATTAATTGTCCAGGTCTCAGATGCATACCAAGTGACTGGAAAGCCCATAGCCTGAATCAGACACACTTTTGTCCTCAAACTGACACATGACTACTGTTCAATAATTTGGAGAGTTCCCTAACTGCAGACTTTCCCAGTGCAATACATCTGATTTTCCTGAGTGCTGGTCCCAAGGGTGTTCATTATGGATCCAAGTAAGATGAAGTTGTAGACAGTTTTAATCTTTGCTCCATCTAGCATGATGTTTGTTGCCTATCGGTCTAGTGGTAAGAATTTTTGCCTTCTTGACATCGTGATGCAATCCTGTTGAAAGCTGTATTCTTTGACCCTATGCAACAAGTACGTTAAGTCCTCCTCACATTCGGCAAGCAAGGCTTTGTTATCTGCATAATACAGGCTCTTGATGAGTCTCCCTCCAATCTTGATGCCACAGTCCTCTTCATAGAGCCCAGATACTCGAATAATTTGCTCAGCATACAGATTGAATAGGTATGGAGAGAGAGTACAACCCTTACACACTCCTAATTTTAATATTTCCTTTGCTCTGTTTGCACAACAGCCTCCTGGTCCAGGTGTAGGTTCTGCATGAGCACAATCTAATGCTCTGGGATTCCTATTCTTCTCAATGTCAGCCACAACTTGTTACGATCCACACGATCAAATGTCTTTACATAGTCAATATTAGAGTTACAAATTATATGGTCAGTTTGTTGTATTGGGGGAGAAGATTGTTCTGACTGGTACAGTACTTGTCTGACAGTTTGCTATATTGAGATAACTTGTGGGTTGCTGTGATACTGAAAGCTATGTTACTGGGGTGTCAAACACCACAAGGATTACCCGTGATGGACAGGTTTTAGCTGAGCTTGGATTAAGACAGACCAGGAAGAAGGACTGGTCATCTACTTCTTAAATAGCAGGCCTCTGAACACCCTATGAACAGGAGAGGAATGCGGATAGTTATGGTGGTAGAGCCCAGATTGGAAATCAGTTGAAATGAGGAAAAATAATGGCATACATCATTTACTAACTGAACATGGAACGTACACAGGCTGTAACAATGGGCTCAGGATATCAGAGAGGGGAGGATGATGCCGAGTAGGACACAGTTCAGATCTGTCCATGCGGTCACTATAAGTTGGTTGACTGGATGGCCCCGTTCACGCAGTCAGGGAACTCTGGTGGTGTATTCTGCAGGGAGGCGCACTGCTAACTCCAATACCCGACTCTGGCATCTCTAACCCATCAGCAGCTCCTGGAGGAACTCAAGCAGTCTCCTCCCATTGGAGTCACAGCCTCAGGAACCCACTGCAGCGTCAGCTCTGACTTGGCTCCACCTCAGCCATGGTGAGTTGAGCCTGAGTTGTTCATACAAGCAGTCAGGGAGCTCTGGGGGGCCTAATGGGAAGAAGCTGCGCTGCAATTCCCAAAATATGCAGTTCAACCAGCTGCTCTGCGGGAGAAGGACGGGCAATCCCCTCCCATGCGATTTACTGCCTCTGAAAGCCTGCTGGGAGACCGGCTCGTCGGTACTCACCAAGCACACACAAGAATCAAGAAATCAAGTTACATATTGCACTGGGCAAATATGCTGCAGGAGACCTGTAAAGTGCCAAGAGCAACGATTTCACTTTGAGGACTAAGATGTGCCTGACCTGAGCCATGGTATTTGCAATTGCCTCATTAAGGCCATGGTCTCCTCAATCACTAGCTATGCATGGAAGAGCTGGACGATGAACACGGGTGTCAGAAGAATTGGTGCCTTTGAGCGGTGGTGTGGAGAAGAGCACTGAATATCCCATCGACTGTCAAAAGAACAAAGACACAGATATGAATTGGAGAAAATGTCGCCAGAGGGCTCCTTGGAGGCAAAGATGGTGAAGCTTTGTCTCACATCCTTCGGGCAGGTTGCTGGGAGAAGCTGTTCCTTGGAGAGGGGAACTATGCTTAGGAAGGTGGAGGGATGGAGAAAGAGAGGAAGACCCTTAACCAAGTGAACTGACACACTGCCCGCTGCAATGGGCTTGAGCATGTCTAAAATAATGGGGAAGCCACAGCGTGGGACAGGATTCAGCTCTGGTGTTCGCAGGACGGTGTGAGTCAGCGGCACCTAAGAGCAGCAGCAGAATCTGCGTGTGAAAGTCGAACAATGAATAAGAAAGACTGAAGGACTGATGCTTTTGAATTGCGGTGTTGGGAAAGAGCATGAAGTATGACTGTCAAACATCCTTGTGGTGTAATCCGTAGGAGCTGTGCTTCCAACTCCAAGACGGCACCTTTCTGACAGTTCAAATCCACCAGCAATTCTGAGGGAGGAGGATGGGTGATCTTCTCCGGGGGATTTACGGCCTCTGAACCTCGCCGGAGGGTCAGCTATGAGCCAGGCCCACTTGACAGCACTGAGGTCAGTGTGACGACTGTCAAAGGAGCAGTCTGTCTTGGAAGGAGTGCAGCCCGGATGCTTCTGGGCAAAGAGGTTTTTTTGTTGTTGTTAAGTGCTGTCGAGTTGTAGGCGACTCATAGCGACCCTATGAACAAAAGTCCTCGACACTTGTGTGCGTGACTTTCATCCTTTCTCCAGGTTCCTAGGGTTTCCAGAGGCAAGCATGGGTAACTATCATCACATTTGACACATCAATGTCACAAACTACAGTTCAAAGGCAATGGATTTGTACCAGCCGTGCTAACCCACAGGGCAGACGTCTCTGGAGGTTCAAATCCACCAGTGGTTCCACTTGAGAAAGATGGGCGGTCCCTTCCCTGGGATTTACAGCTTTGGAAACCAGCTGGAGGCTCGGCCCTGGGATCAGCGAGGCAGCAGTGAGTCTGAGTTTTTTCGGGAAGAAAAGGAAGGGCATCCATGCAGATACTTTGATGGGGCTGCTAACACAGGGTGGCAGTCTGAACTCATCCCAAGGTGCTGCGGAAGAAAGGGCCTGGTGACCTGCTGCTGTACGGGCTGAGCCGAGAAAATCCCGTGGGGCAGTTTTGTTCGATAACACAGGGAGCCAAGGAACAAGACTAAAGTGAGGGGTTTTCCGGCCAAGGAGGGACGCTCCAGGAGGGGAGACTTCAGATCTCCAGCCAAAACCACTGAGGAGAAAATCCGAGACCCTGAAAGCGGAAACCCCAGCAAAGCTCCAAGAAAGACGCATCAAACTCGAGGATGCCAAGGAGGGCTTCTGTGCGACAGCGCCCCGAGCTTGCCCGGTGCAGTGACCCCCGCTGTTAGGCAGGTGGGGGTGGCCTGGAGGCGATGTGCCAACCTCAGGCTTGATCCCACCTGGGCCTGGAGGGGAGGGGACATGCCCAGCGGTTGTGCGCCCAGACCAGACAGTGGAGGGGTCCCCTCCTGGCCCAGACCAGACAGATGAGGGGTCCCCCCTGGCAGAGGGGCACGGGCGAAGGGCCAGGCTGGAGGGACGCCAGACATATCTGAGGAATGAGTGTGACTGCAGACCCCTCTAGAAAAGACACGAACACGGGGGAGCAGGAGGGGGCGCGGCGCGGGAGGGGCCCCCATCCGACTCCTCCCCGCGCCTTTGGGGCTCCGTCCTCACCCAGCTCTGGGTGGTCCTCCTCCACCCTCCGCCCAGCCCGCCGGTTGCCATGGAGACTCATCACTTTGGAGGCGGGGTCGCAGCTGCAGCCCCCGCCCCCACGCGCCCCTCCGCCGGCCGCTCCACCCCGCAGTCGGGGGAGTGAGGGGGTGTTCGTGGCACAGCGCCCCGCGGTGACACCCCACCTCCCCAGCCCTGCCCCGAGCTCCAAAAGGAACTCATACACAGAGCACCCTCGGAGGGGAGCCCAAGGCCCGCGCCCCCCAGAGCCTAGTGGGGCAGATGGAGCCGCATCACCTCCCACTCTGCCATTCCCGAGGCTCAGAATGGGGGTTCCTGTCCTGGAACCCTTGGCCCCGCGCACAGGCTGGTGACCAGCAAGGAGCGAGGACTCCCGCGGGGCGTGGCAGGCTCTGGGCAGGGCGCCCCACACACACCCTGGGGACTCAGGTCCGAGGACCCAGCGGTCGGTGAACCCCGACTCCGTGCAGGTGGCCAAGAGGCCGTGGAGGAACGCTGCGTTTCCGTCCTGCGCATGTGCCAAGGAGCTGCGCTTGTAAATTTGTCCGAAGCTCTGATGCTGCATCCGTTTGTGGCGGGCTGCTAACCGAGAGGCCGAAAGTTCGAACCCACCGGTTGCTCCCAGGAAGGGGCACAATCAGCTGCAGTAAAGATTCCTGGACGTTCCAGAGCGGCCCGCTGCGGCCTCACGCTCCGCCTGGCTTTGCTCTAACGGCGGTTCAGTGAGGGCTGGAGGGCCCCGCTTCAGGGAAGATGCCAGCCACGCCCCCCCAGGCCTGCCCAGAGCCCGGGAAGCATGGCAGGCAGCAGGCAGCGCATCCCAAACCCAAGTGGGTTCCTTCACCCCGGAATTCACCCTTCTGTAGAACACCAGTGCACCCTAAAGCAGTCTGAAACAAAGGGGCCCAGAGCTCTGAGGGTGGCTTCCAGGGAGAGCTTTGATCTGGGGGCGCGATGTGAAGGCCAAAGGGGCATTAGGGGAGACAGACTGGGTCAAGGCAATGGGCAGAGGCGCCCCATCCGCTGCCCGCTGAGGCCATGGTTGTGCCTGGCAGCCCTCTGCCCTCCAACCTGCGTGTGACCACCCATCCAGCCTGTGATGCCAGCAGAGGCCATGAGGCCAAAGGCCAAGGAGAGGGCTTCGGGGCCACTCAGGTTGGATTCCTCCTCATCAGGCCCCCTCTTCACCGGTCCCCGCCCCCACGAAGCCCCCACGGATTCTCCTCCTCACCATGTCGGAGACGCTGTGACTTGTCCGCACCCAGATGGACACCATCTGCAGAAAAAGGGTGTCAGCGTGGCTGAGTGAGTGACCTGGGTTCCCCTCCTGCGCCCTGCCCCCCACCGCCTGGCCTAAGCTCGAGGTCTCAGGCCAAGGTCCCCCGAGGACACCAGGCACCTTATCAGCTGGGAATTCGATGGTGGCACCGGCGCACGGGGTCCGGTTTTGGCTCCAGTTGGAGGCGTCGTCAAAGTCGGTGTTGGGGACCCAGACCTTGTAGGCGGCCTGAGTCAACGCTGGGGGATGGTGGGCTGAGTGTCCCCTGGGGCCGCAACACCCTGGGGTGCCCGTGGCAGCCCAGCCCGGAGCCCTCAGCCCTGCTCATTTCCCACTTGCCCCTGAGTGCTCCCTTGATCAATTCCTACACTATCTGCAAAGCCCTGGGAAATGTCCCCTCCTCCCTACACCCTCCCTGGTTCTCCCTCCTTTCTCTTAATTGAAGGGGTGAGAATGCAGTGGACGGGTCAAGGGTGGCCTCTGCTCAGGCTGCTCATTCCAAGTCGGGTGGCCGCGGGTGCAGAGCAGGAAGGGTACAGAGCAGGAAGGGTGCAGAGCCCTGTGGGGTGCAGAGCAGGAGGGGTGCTGAGCCCAGTGGGGTGCAGAGCAGGAGAGGTGCAGAGACTAGCGGCTGGGTGCCGCAGGCTTGAGGGGGGAGGTCTTTGGAAGAGGGATGAGGACTGGGCTGCAGTTTCTGAAGCTGGAGGTGAGGACAGGGCAGGGGGACGGGGGCGCTGTGGGGTCCACTGGCACAAGCTGGCTGAGTGCACCTGGTGGCCTTTGCGGATGGGGAAATTGAGGCAGTTTGTGGAGCTGCCTGCTGGAGGCCAAGCCCTCTGCTGTCCCACCTCCTGCTGTCTGGGCGACCCGTGCAGTGCAGGGCACTCCAGGCCTTTGCCGCCCACCCCTTGGGGTCCCTGGTGGAGCCTGGGCCCCGGGTCCGTCTGTCCAGCCGCCCCCTCCCCGCCATCTCCCTGCAGGACCGGCCTACCGCACAGCCCCAGGCTCAGCAGGACGCAGCCCAGGGTGCCCATCTCTCCGCAGATGGGACTTTGCCCCGCTGGGCCCAGGGGAGGGTCGGTGGGGGCCGCAGGGAGGGTTACACATTTACCTGCAGACCTGCCCCGCCCTCCACCGTCCGAGGACCTTGCAGAAGACAGACTTGTCCCAAGTAACGAGGAAGGCCCCATGCCCTTTGGACCCTTTTCTGTGCCAACTGTGGCTCCCGCTGCCCCTGGCCCCCCTCCCCTGCATGCGGGCCCCCCTTCCCTCCTGGCCTGTGCGGGCGGTTGGGCGGTGGTTACTACCTGCATGAGTGGATGGCCGCTGGCCAGTGACGGGTGACAACGGGGAAGGGTGCAGGGCCAGTGCTCTGTCCGAGTCAGAACCGACTCACGGCTGAGGCCCCAGTGGGTTTTTGGAGATAGTCAATCCCATGGAAGGAGACTGCCTGTCTTTCTGTTGTGGAGCAACTGATGAATTCGACCCCCATGCCTCTGGGTTGGCCGCACAGCTCCTTACACGAGGCCGGCTGACCTCCCTGTAGGACCACAGTGAGTGCCGTTGCTGGGTGGTGTTTGTATTGATGGATGGGGCTTTACAGTTGACTCAATGACTGGTTGACCCCACCAGAGGCAGCCTGGAAAGCAAGCCCGGCAGAACCGCTTCCAAACGGCCCTCCCAATGGAGCTTCCTGACACTGGAACCAACAACTCAGGAGCCCCTGACAGCATGGTGTGCGGACCACAGGGGGCGGAGGGTGGACAATGAGCCATGGGTGATGGCTGGAAGACGAATGGTGGGCTTGTATACGTCAGCACTGACCCCTAGAACCCTGCGCATAAGAGTAGATGGCCCTTCCCAGGCCCTCCTTGCGGCCCCTGCTGCGTTAACCCTCCACTGTCTCCGTCAATGCATCGGTCCCTCAGGGCCTTCCGGCCTCTGCTTTTATACAGAAGATGCCCTTCTGCCGGGGATTGGCCCCTCCCGGAATGAAGCCCTAGTGTGGTGAGGAGGAGTGCTCTGAGCATTTCCTCCAAGACAGATTTGCTTGTTCTTTCGGCAGTCAGTGGTAAGCAGTGTCTACACCATGATTCAAAGGTATCAGTTCTCTCATCTTCCTCATTCCTCGTCTGACTTTCACATGCATATATATTATGTGACCACTAGGCTCAGCCCCAGGAACAGAACTGAACCTCTCTCTAGCCTGTGCCATCCTCTCATTCGCCAGCATCCTCAAGTCCAACGTCACGGTCAGTGTATGAATCCATTTTGTTGAGGGTCTTCCTCTCTTTCACTGACCCTCCATTTGCTCAGCAGAATGTCTTTTTCCAAGGACTGCTCCCCCTTCCCCGACAACATGCCCGAGGGATGTGAGAGGACGTTTCACCACCTTTGCTCTAAGGAGTCTTCCTGTCGCACTCCCTCCGAGGCAGACCTGTTTGTTCTCTTGGCTGTCCATGGGCTGGTCAGGCTACGTGATATGAAGCAAATGCAAATGCGCGGGCAGGTGCAGACAGCGGGCAGGTGCAGACGGCGCTCACCGCGTCTCACTTCACAGCACGGGGCCGCACGCCTGCCCCTTGCAAGATATCCTTGGATTTTGTATCTGTTGTTTCCAGAGGTGATGGCTGTAGATAGAAGTACAATGAAATTCTTACAATTTCTATCTTTTCTCCATCTTACAGGGTTGTTGGTCCAGTTGTGAGGCTTGTTGTTTTTTTTCTTGAATTTGAGGTACAATTTATACTGAAGACCAAAGTATTTGAACATCATTAATTAGTAAGAGCTTAAAGTCTTCTTTTTCTACAAGCAAAGTTGTGTTATCTGAGTAATGCAGACTGCGGATGAGTCTTCCTCTAATCCTGATGCCACATTTTCTTCATATAGTCCAGTCTCTGCAATTTGCTCCGCATACAAATTGGATGGGTTCGGTGAAAGAGTAGAACCCTGATGCGCACTTTTTGTGACTGTAAAGCATGAAGGATACACTTCTTCTGTATGAATGAGTATTCCTTGGCTCGTGCATGGTTTCCATTATCATGACCTCAATAACATGCTCTGGGATTCCCCTCCTTCTCAATGTTAACCATCATTTATTATGACCTATATAGTCAAACTGGAGAGAGGATGAAAGGCACCCAAGAGTTGAGGTCTCTCCTTCATAGGGTCGCTAAGAGTCGTCTGCGACTCGATGGCACTTAACAACACCACCAACAACATACAGTCAAATGCCTTTGCATAGTCAATAAAACACAAGTAAACATCTTTTCTGGTGTTTTTTGCTTTCAGCATTAACATCCTTCATTCCACAGACTTTTCTGAATCCAGTTTGAACTTCTGGCACCTCCCTGTTCCTGTACTGCTCCAGCCATTTTTTAACAGGCTTCAGTAAGTGCTGAAGTGCAAAGATGTCAGTCTGGAGAATAAGGTGTACCCGATACAGGCAATGATCTTTGCAATCACTTGCTATGCATCAGAGAGCTGGACAATGACTAGGGATGACAGAAGGAGAATTGATGCCTTAGAGCTGTGGTGCTGGAGAAGAGTATTGAATAGACCATGGACTGTCAGGAGAACAAACAGGTTTGTCCTGGAGAGGGTGAAGCCGGGCTGCTCCTTGGAGTCAAGGATTCTGAGGCTTTGTCTGACATACTTTGGACATGTTACTAGGAGGGACCAGTCCTTGGAAAAGGACGTCATGCTTGGGAGGGTGGAGGGGCAGGAGGAAAGGAAGACCCTCTATGAGATGGATTGATTCAGTGACTGGGGTAGTGGGGATAGGTGTATTTGAGAAGGTGAGATGTGCACAGGATAGGGCTGAGTTTAGGGCTATTGTACATAGGGTTGTTTTGAGTGGCAGGCGAATGGACTGCACATAACAATAACAAGAAGAACAACAAGAGTTTACTGGAATGTGACATTTTTTAATAGGCTTCAGTAAGACTTTACTGGCACATGCTATTAGTGACATTGCTCAGTATCTTCCACGCTGTCTGATCATATATTTTTTAATGGGCACAAATATGATTATTTTCCCATCCGTTGGCAAGACAGCTTGTCTGCTAGTTGTTGGCGCAGATGAGTAAGTACGTCCAGGGATGCCTCTGTTTGTTCAGATGCCTCCGCTGGTACCCTGCCCTTCCTAGCCCTTGTTTTTTGCCAGTGCCTTCTGTGCAGTGCCAGCCACATCCGTACAGGAGACTAGACTCAGAAGGCTCATGAGCTCTTTCCACCCAGAAGGCCTCATCCTCCAGGATTAGCTACAGCACGATGTCTGATGCTCTTCCGTGGGGTCAGAGGATTGTAAATGGTGAAATGAACTGAAAGCAGCACTCACGGAATGGAACCAAGGGCGCTCTGGTCACCTAGTGGCAAGAAGCTGCACTGCAGTTCCAGAGGTATGTGGTTTGAATCCACCAGATGCTCTGCTGAAGAAGGAGGAATCCGATTTGATGGTATGTTGTTGTGGTGGTTATGTGCCGTCATGTCGCTTGTGACTCATAGTGACCCTATGTACAACAGCCCTAAACCCTGCTCTGTCCTGTGCCAAATGCACTGCCTCTGACACTCCCATCCCAATTATCCCAGTCACTGAATCAATCCACCTCACACAGGGTCTTCCCCTCTCAAGCATGATATCCCTCTCTAAGGACCTGTCCCTCCTTACAACATGTCCAACGTGTGTCAGACGAAGCCTCAGAATCCTTGCCTCCAAGGAGCAGCCTGGTTTAACCCTCTCCAGGTTGAATCTGTTTGTTTTCTTGGCAGTCCATGGTACATTCAATACTCTTCTCCAGCACCACAGCTCAAAGGCATCAATTCTCCTTCTGTCCTCCCTAGTCATTGTCTAACTGTCTGATGCATAACAAGTGATTGCAAAGACCATAGCCTGTATCAGGCGCACCTTAGTCTCCAGAGTGACACCATTGCTCTTCAGTACCCTGAAGAGATCCCTAACAGCAGACTTTGCCATCGAAATAAGTTTTTTTATTTCCTGGCTACTGGTGCCAAGAGTGTTTACCGTGGAGTCAAATCTCTTCACCATCCATCCTGATGCTGCCAATTGGTCCAGTGGTGAGAATCTTTGTCTTTTTGACATTGAGCCTCAATCCATATTGGAGGCTGCAGTCCTTGACCCTCTGCAGCAAGCACTTCAGGTCCTCCTCAGTTTCAGCAAGCAGAGTTGTGTCATCTGCATAATGCAGATTGTTGATAGATCTTCCACCAATCCTGATGCCACACTTCTCCTCATAGAGCCCAGCCTCTCAGATAATCTGTTCTGCATACAGGCTGAAAAGGTATGGAGATAGGACACATCCTTGGCTTACACCTGTTCCAATTTTGAACCATGCAGTGTTTCCCTGCTCTGTTCTGACAACTGCCTCTTGGTCCAAGTATAGGTTTTGCATTAGAACAATCAAGTGTTCTGGGATTCCCATTCTTCTCAGAGTCAGCCACAGTTTGTTACAATCCACACAGTCAAATGCCTTTGCATAATCAATGAAACACAGATAGATATTCTTCTGGTATTCCCTGCTTTCGGCTAAGGTCCATCTAACATCAGCTACAATATCCCTATGACCGTGACCCCTTCTGGTAGTTCTCTGCTGATGTGCTGTTCCAGTTGTTTTTGGATACTCTTAAGTAGAATCTTGCTTGCATGTGAAATCAATGATATTGTTCTGTAGTTTCCACACTTTGTTGGGTCACCCTTCTTTGGAATGGGAACAAATATAGATCTCTTCCAGTCAGTTGGACAAGTGATTGTTCTCCAGATTTCTTGGCACAACTTGGTGAGCACATTCATGGCAGCATCTGTTAGCTGAAATATGTCAATTGGTATACCATCTATTCCTGGGGCCTTGTTTTTTGCTATTTCCTTCAAAGCAGCTTGAACTTCTTCCTTCATCATCATTGGCTCTTGCTCATATGTTATTTCATTAAATTCTTCTGTGTCTGCCAATTCCTTTTGATACAGTGACTCAGTATATTCTTTCCATCTTCTCTTAATACTTCCTGGATCATTTAATAT